TTCCAAGAAAGAGTAAGGACAAAATGGGAAGTGTGTTTATAAACTAAAGTGTTAAGGGTTTGAAACCCTTATTTTCTTCATTCCACCACCACCTCCTCCCCCATTTTCTCTCAAATTTTCATTCAATCCTCCAAGGATTTGAGGGCTTTTGAGTGGTTTTTCATAGGGTTTGATTTTAGGCTTCAAAGGTAAAATTCATGCTCTTTATAGATTTATTTGTGTCAAAGTTGAGTTTTATGAAGTTTATGCTTAGGGTTAGAGAAGATTTGAATCCAACAGAGTAGAGAGCTTAGTAAGCCTACTCACCATAAGGTAAGTAAATTCCACTCAAAATCCACTCAAGTTAAAGTTTAAGAAAATCAAGTGAGTAGAGATTTTTTTTTAATTATGCATATGTTAGGATTATTGAGAAATTGAGATGAGATGGATTAGTTATGCTGTTGTTGGATATACTTGAATATGAGGGTGTATGTGATGGGTTGATTGGAAAATTGGAGAAACTTTGGGGAGTGTTTTTGCCACGTAGGATGGTGATGTTCAAGAGAGTTTTTCTCTCTCAATTTGGATGGTTTAAGAAACAAATAGAATGATAATACTTAGGGTTTGTTTATGCCACGTTTGTTTGATGAAATCCTAAGAGAAGTATGAGTTGAGTGGAAACCTTAATTTTTGCAACATTGCATATGGCATTTCATAAGTGCATTTAAGTAAGAATTTTAAGCATAGAGCATCCATATGCATATAATTGTGTATGTGTAGAAACTTAAGAAATAAAAGAATAAGAATAAGAAAGCAAGAATAAACATCTAAAATAAGAGAAAAAAAATAAGCATTAAAGAATTAAAGAAAGAAAAAGTTTTAAAGAATAAAAGAATAGGTTGGTATGATGGGGAACCGTGAGTGTTAAGAAGAAATTCCCACATACACGTCACCTTAATTGAGTGGCATAAGAAGAAGAAGAATTGTACGACCCGTAAGAGTGTATATGGATGAGGGTTGTACCAAGAAGAATTCCTACATGCACGTCACCTTAATTGAGTGGCCTAAGAAGAAAGAAGAATTTGTACGGTCCGCAAGAGTACATGTAGATGAGGACTGTACTCACTTACACGGCCAAGGTTCCGAATTCATACATCAACCGAGTCTGATCAGCAAAGAATAAGAAAAGAAAGAATAAGAAAGAATGAGAAAGCTTGAACAAGCAAAGAAAAGAAAATAAACAAGAAAGAAAAGAGAAGCTTGGGCAAGCAAGACAAGAAAAGAAAAGAAAAGCATAGAAAGAAAAAGAAAAGAATAGAGAAGAAAAGAAATAGAAAGAAGAAATAAAATGCATTTTTATGCATTACTGCATATGCATTTCATTTATGCATATTCCCATGAACTTTATTATGGTTAGAAAGAATAGAAGAGTAGCAAGAAGAGAGAATAGAAAGAGTAAGAAAGAAAGAACAGAAAGAAAGAAAGAAACAGAAAGAAGTAGAAAGAAAGAAAAGAACAGTGAGAGTTAGAAACAGAGAAAGAAAAGAGAAGAAATTAAGTAAGGAAAGAACCTAAGAAGGAGAAGAGTTAAGGGATTTACTTACTTAGCATTTTTATGCTCACCCCGTTGTTTTTCCATGTTTTTACAGGAAATAGGTGAGCAGTGGTCGGAAGGACGTCGACAAGCGGGGAGGATTGGCATTACTGTCCACCGTTGCTAAGTTTTTGTACTTGTTATTTTGATATATGTAAAGAATTATATTTTGTATGTAAAGAAAAATTTGGGCCCAACTATTTTCATATGCTAATTATGTATATTTTCATAGTATATGTTATAAAATATACTATTAGAAAGAAGTCATTACACACAACCAATCTAATAATTCTCTTAGAGAATGGAGAAATGTTTTAACATTTTGCTGTTTAGTCCTTTCAAGCAAACAAAAGGCAACTCCCCAAGCTTTCAACTAACCTCTTCTGTCAAAAGAATAACATGATATATTTGGCAATAGCTTGACATTAATCGAATTGAATGCTATAAGCAAGCATTTGTGGGGACTGGGGAATCAATACAACACAAGCAAGTGGGCCAAACCAAATGGAAATGAGCATTAATAAACAGAACAAAAGGCAAAGAATATCATGATTCATGAAGCATGAAATTATGAAGAAAAAAACAAGCATTTAGAAGACATATGGGGCTTAATTCTTACTGAAATCATCATTACTTTAATTTTTTTTTTTTACATATATTAATAAACATTGAGGACCCAGATGAGGTGTTGACAATTCTTGAAATATAAGTCAGAAAAAATAATGGAGAGTTGTCAATTTGATTTAGTCGCCTCATTAAGATACAAGCTTAACACATACATGGCAGTAGTGAAGCACAAAAGGAAGTCAATGTGGGTTCATGCCCAAATCAAATATTAGAATTAATTTAACATTTAAAATTCATCTAACAACTAAGAGTACATAATTATTACATCACAACTAATTTAGAGGGTATTTTAATAATTCTTTTAACAACAAAAAGAAATGATAAGAAAAGAGAAAGCACAAAATCTGGAACTATGAATAAACATTTCTTTTAGATGAAGATCTTCTGTCCCATACATAAATTATCTCCAAATGTGAACATTTTTATATAAATATTTTTAAAGGGTCAAGATACACTAACTTAATTTTTTGACATTTTTTTGTGAACTATTGATTATTGTTGATGTAATATGTGATAAGATATACTTAGTTGACATTAAATGTTACCTTTAACTTCGAAATGTCTAAAATTGAGTTCAAATTTAAGTTACACTATCTCAACCCATTTTAAAATACAAAGATCATGTTTGTTGATATTTTAACACAATGAAAGATAAAATTTTAGTCAAATTTATTGCATCGAAGAATGCAAATATATAATATCATATTTCATAAAAATAGAATTTTCACTTAAAAAATATTTTAATATATTGTATATAAATAAATATGGGCGAATACATAGATGTTTTTTTAATGAATGTGTGGTGTCAGGCACTAGAGAAATTAACATGCTTGGAAAAGTATTGATTATGTTTATCATGTTATGATTTCAAAAAAGTGATTTGACAGACACTAATTCTTGAATCCCTTTGCTTTGCTTTCATGCTTTAGCTTTTCCAGATGACCCATCTTTACTCTTAACAATTCTATTGTAACACGAACTTTTTATCTTCAATCCCCCCTTCCAAAATCTGTCTCAACTTCAGCCATTAAATACACAAACACAAACCCACTTAACTCATACAGAATGAGAATTGTGGTGTTCCAGTGACAGAGAATTGAAGTTTATTTCAATTTCTTGATGGGTAAACACAGGTTTAGATTCTCAGATATGATCCCAAATGCCTGGTTTTACAAGCTCAAAGACATGAGCAAAACCAGAACTTCACATAACTCCTCTCATCATAATAACAAAAAAATCCCACCAAAATCAAATCCAACTTCGCAAAATCCTCACATTTCATTTCCAAGATACTCTTATTACTTCACCACACAACCCATCAAACCTGAAAAATTATACAACTCTCCTGTCAATTCCAAAGCCTCTGATACTCATTTTCCTGATCCTTCAACCAAGAAACACACTAAAAGGAAAACAATTTACAAGCCTTCTCCTAAAAATTTCTCTTCCAATAATGCTTCAACTCCTTGTACTTGTCATTATTTTAAGTCTCCAGACGACTCCTGTTTTTCTTCTGCTGAGAGTTCCAATGAAGCTAATTACTTCCCTGATATTGATTCCGATGGCGAAAGCATTTGCAATTGTGAACTTACTTCTTCAACTACTGATATAATCATCGACCTCAACGACAACCAGTTCTTTTCTAGCAAAGTCAAGAAGCTTAACGGTTTCGACGCCATTTCAGAAATGGAGCTTCCTCCAATATTAACAAAACCACCGAAGTCTCATGACAAGATAAATGTTAATCACTCTCTTTCTGTCAAGATTGTGAAGGAAGAAAGTGTGAGGACTCAAAAGGAGCAAAGAAACAAGGCTGCTGTTATCCGAAAGTCGTCATCATCGAATTCTCCAGGGATAAAGCTGAGAGCGAAAGCGAATTCTCCAAGAATTGGAAGCAAGAAACTCCAAACCGCTTGTTCAAGAAAGAGCATATCAAGAAATAAGGGGTTTTCAGAGAGCTTTGTGGTGGTGAAATCGTCGGTTGATCCGCAAAGAGATTTCAGGGATTCAATGGTGGAGATGATTGTGGAGAATGATCTTCGAACTTCAAAGGATTTGGAAGATCTACTTGCTTGTTATCTATCGTTGAATTCCAAGGAATATCATGGTGTTATTGTTAAGGCATTTGAGGAAATCTGGTTTGATATGACTAACCTTCGCTTGTAAATTAATTAATTAATTGTTATATATATATTTTTAGATGTAAGCTTCTTCTTGTCTCTGTTTTTCTTTGTACTTTTGGGTTAATTAAGTTGAATAAATGTTAATAATATTGTTAAGAATAGTTGATAGCAGCTGCAGAACTCTAAATTACTAAGCCTGTCACTCTTGCTGCATTTTATTTTTTATGTTTCAAGAATAATATTTTATGTTAATTTTATAATGTTAAAAAGTAAGGGAATTGTGAGCTCAACTTCAACTCTGAGCAAAGATTATGATAAAAAATATATATATTTATTACTTTATTTAATCTAGTTAAATTCCTTGAAAACTTTCTTTATCAATTAACAAAATCTAATTCCAAAAAATGATAAATTAAATTCAAATAAAAATTCATCAATTAATTAGGTAGAAGAAGTAGAGGTGGCAAAATGGNGTTTTTTTAATGAATGTGTGGTGTCAGGCACTAGAGAAATTAACATGCTTGGAAAAGTGTTGATTATGTTTATCATGTTATGATTTCAAAAAAGTGATTTGACAGACACTAATTCTTGAATCCCTTTGCTTTGCTTTCATGCTTTAGCTTTTCCAGCTGACCCATCTTTACTCTTAACAATTCTATTGCAACACAAACTTTTTATCTTCAATCCCCCCTGCCAAAATCTGTCTCAACTTCAGCCATTAAATACACAAACACAAACCCATTTAACTCATACAGAATGAGAATTGTGGTGTTCCAGTGAGAGAGAATTGAAGTTTATTTCAATTTCTTGATGGGTAAACACAGGTTTAGATTCTCAGATATGATCCCAAATGCCTGGTTTTACAAGCTCAAAGACATGAGCAAAACCAAAACTTCACATATCTCCTCTCATCATAATAACAAAAAAATCCCACCAAAATCAAATCCAACTTCGCAAAATCCTCACATTTCATTTCCAAGATACTCTTATTACTTCACCACACAACCCATCAAACCTGAAAAATTATACAACTCTCCTGTCAATTCCAAAGCCTCTGATACTCATTTTCCTGATCCTTCAACCAAGAAATACACTAAAAGGAAAACAATTTACAAGCCTTCTCCTAAAAATTTCTCTTCCAATAATGCTTCAACTCCTTGTACTTGTCATTATTTTAAGTCTCCAGACGACTCCTGTTTTTCTTCTGCTGAGAGTTCCAATGAAGCTAATTACTTCCCTGATATTGATTCCGATGGCGAAAGCATTTGCAATTGTGAACTTACTTCTTCAACTACTGATATAATCATCGACCTCAACGACAACCAGTTCTTTTCTAGCAAAGTCAAGAAGCTTAACGGTTTCGACGCCATTTCAGAAATGGAGCTTCCTCCAATATTAACAAAACCACCGAAGTCTCATGACAAGATAAATGTTAATCACTCTCTTTCTGTCAAGATTGTGAAGGAAGAAAGTGTGAGGACTCAAAAGGAGCAAAGAAACAAGGCTGCTGTTATCCGAAAGTCGTCATCATCGAATTCTCCAGGGATAAAGCTGAGAGCGAAAGCGAATTCTCCAAGAATTGGAAGCAAGAAACTCCAAACCGCTTGTTCAAGAAAGAGCATATCAAGAAATAAGGGGTTTTCAGAGAGCTTTGTGGTGGTGAAATCGTCGGTTGATCCGCAAAGAGATTTCAGGGATTCAATGGTGGAGATGATTGTGGAGAATGATCTTCGAACTTCAAAGGATTTGGAAGATCTACTTGCTTGTTATCTATCGTTGAATTCCAAGGAATATCATGGTGTTATTGTTAAGGCATTTGAGGAAATCTGGTTTGATATGACTAACCTTCGCTTGTAAATTAATTAATTAATTGTTATATATATATTTTTAGATGTAAGCTTCTTCTTGTCTCTGTTTTTCTTTGTACTTTTGGGTTAATTAAGTTGAATAAATGTTAATAATATTGTTAAGAATAGTTGATAGCAGCTGCAGAACTCTAAATTACTAAGCCTGTCACTCTTGCTGCATTTTATTTTTTATGTTTCAAGAATAATATTTTATGTTAATTTTATAATGTTAAAAAGTAAGGGAATTGTGAGCTCAACTTCAACTCTGAGCAAAGATTATGATAAAAAATATATATATTTATTACTTTATTTAATCTAGTTAAATTCCTTGAAAACTTTCTTTATCAATTAACAAAATCTAATTCCAAAAAATGATAAATTAAATTCAAATAAAAATTCATCAATTAATTAGGTAGAAGAAGTAGAGGTGGCAAAATGGATCATGACATACCAACCCGACACGAACATGACACGGTTTAAGTGGGTTGGATTGACACAAATAATATTTGGATTGGGTTGGGTTCAGGTTGAAAAACCTTAACACATTTATTAAATAAGTTGAACGAGGGTGAGGCGAGATGAGTCTCGGTCAGAAGGTTGAAGGGAGAGTTTTCGTGGTGATGGGATTTGTTTTCGATGCCAAAAACAAGCCCTATTTGGCTTGAGTTGTCAATGCCGACAGTGTAATTTTAGGTGTTTTTACAAGATTTCAAATTTTTAGAAACTTATGTGTAATTTTCAGGGGTTTTTTTTGTTGCTAGATTTCAAACATTTTTGCATGCTGATATCACCGGTTTAACCTGCTGGTCAACTCGGCTCAATCATCAACCTGGAACCCGACCATTATGCCGGGTTTCAGCTCGGGCCAGGTTTTAAAACCTTGCTAAAAACTTGGTTTAGATTTAGATTTTAGAGTGAAGTAGCTATAACAACCAACTCAAACCCAACGGATTGCCACCTCTCCTGAAAATTAAATCCTGTAAATACATTAAAGTGATTTTAATTACTAAGTAGCCTTATAATTATTATCATTATTATTTTTTATCTTGTCTAAAGTTGAAGTTCCATTTTATAATCTTGGTTAATGTTAGCACAAGTGGATATTTTTAGGAACATAAATTAAATTAAAGAGTTGTACATTTATATATTTATATATTAGTGTAAGTGTACCAATAGATTTAACCTAGGATTGAATTAATTCAAACAAATATCAAATATGGGTAGTTTCTTTAAGAGGGTAGGAGATCTCCTACTCTTATGTTAATAGGACAATTATTCCTACTTTTTTAGAAAAAAATTGGCTTTAGCTGTTCACTTTCAAATTTCAATTTATTTTATTCACACTTTTATTGCAAGCTTTTCGATCACATTTTTGGTCATATTTTTTTTACAAATTAAATAAAATGAATTTTCCATTCTATTATTCATTGGAATATATTTTTCTATTTTATCCTCTCATAAAATCTATTTAATTATTAAATAACAATAATATATATTATATACATAATACAATAATAAAAACTTTATTATAATCATTCTTTTAAAATAATAAATTAAATAATATAAATAATTAATATAGGAGGGTAATTTGTCCTCACATCACATAGTAGATTCAATTTTGTGGTACCCAAATTTCCCAAGGGAAAAATAATAAGATCCCTATTCGATAAAATGTGCACACAAGAAAGATATCTTAGAGATATTCTCTATAATCATAATTAAATGGGGGAATAAACAATGATTGATAACTCGATGTTCATACGGGAAAGCCTCACACTGAGCATTCCGATTAAAAGCTGACCACCTCTGTAATTAGCCTCTGCCTCTTGTATTAACCTTGCAAACTCGCATGAACTTTGCTATTTTCAGTAGCGACATGGAATGGCGTTGCAGTAAACAAACACCAGCAGAGACTTCAGAGAACACAATCCAAGGGCAGAACGGGAAAGTCATTATGTTCCCAAGGGCAAGACTGTAACTTCCATTTTGGCGCGAATTTTGGCATCAACAAATTCCATTATCAATTTTGTTTTCCTTTTCATTCCATTTCATAACAAAAATTAAATGCCACCTTGATTCTTGAGTGAATATGTGAATAATAACAGCATTATTATAGCTCAATCTTCCTTAAATTTCTTTAGGCTCTAAGTGCATTTTGAAATTCTTAATTTCTTACATGGTCATCACTAGTTTATGAATTTTTGGAAAGACTTGTTGATCTTCCCTTTCTAGAACATTTTCGTCACAATTCTTAAATCTTAGATAAAAGAGTGGCGCCATATATACTAAATATATAAACTATTGTATACAAATTGATGTAACACCCCTCTTTGGTTAACAATCATTCATCTATATTTATTAAGCATTTATTAAGTTGATTTTTTACATGCATTCATCAATTCACTTTGTGATACATTAGTTTATGAATGAAATGATTTGTACATCTACTATTATTCAATAAAAAAATGTGGGATTATTTAAATGTTTGACCCTCATCTATTAACTTAAATTTTTATTGTTATTTCTTATTATGCTATCAAAATCAATTAAATTCCTTAATCAAATTCCATATGTACTCATAATTATAGTTTTCAAATAAATTATTATTAAATTATTATATAAGCATTACATGTAGGCACTTTGTGACCGGCATATTGTGAATTTATCTCAAACTCACATTTCAAATAGTATGGTTTAGATAGCGTCTCTTTTGATTTGAACCTAGGACTTCATCATTGGAAATGAATTAGGAGTGCCTATCGAATAAAAAATTATGCATCTTGAGCCCCGCTATTTGATAAATGGGTAAGAGATAAGTTCACAATATCTTGATAGCGGGTTGGGGTAAGTTCACAATATCTTGATAGCGGGTTGGGGTGTTATACTGTCGTTGATTTTAGATATAGAATTCACTGTATATATATATATATATATATATATTTCAATTATTTACAAAAAGACATTTTATCAATCTTACTATCAAATTACACATATAATATATCAAATATTATGTTTTAAATATTGATGTTGGACACTTACCTATTAAGTTGAAAGCCTTTAAATCAAATAGTTTAAATATAAATCACCACGTCTTAGTTTACATAAAAATATAAATCCAACTTTCCCTTAAAAAATTAATCCTTTAGGTGAAGAATAACTTTATAAAATCAGAACTAGAAATCCTAAATCACAAGGCCCAATGAACTTTATAAAACTTCAATAAAAACATTGTTAATTAACTACACATTCATTAGAAGAACATATATATATATATATATATATATATATATATTTGTGAGATTTGATAACGGACTGGGTGCATAGAATGTTTCTCAAATCTCTTGTAAAGTGGGGAATGACAAGTTGGTTAAATTACAAAATCTGATCACAAAATGACAGCTAGCTCTTTTTAAGAAGCAATAGTTGATCATCAAATAAAATAATTAATCAAAGTGGAGGACCACAAGACAAGAAAGATTGGAAAATACCCAACTCGCCTTGAAGCTTTCTAAACCATGGTTCTCAGATCGCGTATCATATCATGTATCACGATACGATTTTTCAAAAAATTAATATAATAAAAAACAATTTCTAAAAATTAATATCATCCCCAAAATTAATTAACGATTTTTTGTGGTATTATTGGCTTTAAATTATGGTATTACATAATCAAAACTAATCACAAAATTAAGAATGTATATCATTTCCTCTTAACCATTCATATCATTTCCAAGATCAATGTCAATACATATATCTCCACTTGTATTATTGTTATCATGCAAAATGGGCAACACATCTTCCTCTTCACTTTCTCTAGGCAAAATCTGTAAATTTGGGCAAGTTTCAGTGAACCGGGTTGGGTGACTTGGATCCGACTTGAATTTAGCCCAAATTGATAAAGTCATATCGATTTGTATCGATATTTTTAAGTATATGAACAGATACTTATTGCATAGTAGGATATATATCAACATATCGAAAGGTTTAGGATATACTCTCTGATATGTATCGGTGGTGACTCGTGTAAAACCCACATCAAGGTATGTAATTTTATTTACACCCCAATACCCTTAGTTGGATTTCTTTGAAGTTACCTTAGACAAATGTGAAGAAAACTCCTTAAAACTTCATTAGGGTTAAAAAGGTCTTTTCACTTATAATTAGATGAAAAAGTGGAGAGTGAAAGGAAGTAAAAAAATGTGAAGAAGATAATAGAAATGAGGGCATTTTGGTAATTAACTAAAGGATATAGATGGGATTTCTTAGAAAGTGCAAGGGCAAAATGAGAATACATGTATATATTATTAGTTATAAGGATTCATTGAATAAACCCTAACCATTTTTCAGCCCTTGTACATGCCACCCTCACCCATTTTTCTCTCAAATCTCTTCACCAAATCTCAAAGAGAATTTGTAGGATTTGCTTGGATTTTTGTAGATTTTCAACCTTAAAGCATCCAAAGGTAAGATTCTAGCATAAGTTATGTGATTAAACTTTAAAGTTTTAAATTCTTATGATATTAAATGATCTAGGTCCAAGAGGAAAAAACTTTTAGCAAAGGGAGGTTATATCACACACTCAAGATAAGTAAACCCAATTTTAGTTTTGATTTGAGCAATAATTGTGTAGAATGATTCTTGCATGTTTGTATGTGATTGTATTTGAGAATTATTAGTTGTTTTGATGTTGAATGATGTGTAATTTCCAACCATAAGAAGTAGTGTATGAGTATGTGGTGATTTGGTGAAGTTATGGAAGAATTATTGTTGAAACTTTGAAGTGTTGAAGAATTGTAGAAACTAGCCAGGTTTAAGGCTAAAGCTAGTGAGTTTTTGCTCAAATTTTTGGTGGATTTAGAGAGATGTGGAGTGTGGCCAACTAAGTTTTTGCATGTGCATATGAATTGTTTGATGAAAATCCAAAAAGAAAATGCATGCATGAGTTGGTTAAATCCTATTGAAGAAATGGTTAGAGAAATGCGAGAATTGGAGTAGAAAGATTACATTGGGCTTAACCAAGTGTAAATTTTAGTATTCAAGAATGTATTTTGTTATGTCAAAATTAAGAATATCACTTGGTCATGTTAGCTCAATGAGATAAATAGCTCTTAGTGCTTGGTTTAAGTTA